TATATATATATATATATATATACCCAGATGCTTGAGCCAGTTAATTATGGACAATTTATGTTTGTTTATTTTTTTGTAATCTTTTGTAGTATTTCCTCAACTTGAACTAGTAAGCTACAACCCATATTTATTTATTTTTTTGTATGATCTTTTGCTGTATATTCTCGGGTTTGAGCAAGTAATCTACAACCCATATAAATGCATGTTTACTTCTTAATCTTTTGTTCGGCTATCACAAAACTAATTTTACCGATAACACACATTCCAGTAAGTATCTGTGAGCTTTCTCATAAATTATATATATATATATATATATATATATATATATATATATATATATATATATATGGTTTGAAAATTGAAAAAAGTAATGAGATGCACGTTGATCTATCATTCCCTTGGAAGATCATGGACTCACGTATTATCACCTAATACATATAATATACTATATATAAACTAACATAATATACATATTAAACTCATCTTCTTTCTTTATAAAACACAACCACTTATACTGCAACTTCAAGTCTCATCTCAACTTCCATTTATCTATCAATAATTTCAGCTTGTAAGTTCCCGTCATGGCCGCCGTCTCTTCTCCCAGTCCATGGGGAAAAATCAACGAAGAAGAAAACGAGAGGCTAATGGCCCGTAGAAAGACTAGGAAGAGAATCATAATCATCGCCATTTCTTCAGTCCTTCTTGTAGCCATCACCGTTTCCGCCGTCGTCGGAGTAGTGTCACGCGCCGCCAAGGACGGAGACTCCGGCGACAGACAAGGAAACGGCGACAAGTCCATTTATGCGAGCATCAAAGCTATTTGCGACGTTACATTGTACCCAGACTCATGTTACAGTAGCCTCGCTCCTTTGGTCAAGTCGAAGTCGGTTCTCACGCCTCAAGACGTCTATAAACTGTCGGTGCAAGTCGCCATTAACGAGCTCTCCGCCTCGTCGGAGAAGTTCCTCCGCGGCGGCGCGTGGAACAAGAGCGGCGGCGGAGATCCGGTGGTGGCGAAAGCTCTGGAGAGCTGCGACGAGCTGTTGTCGTTAGCCATGGATCATCTCAACGATTCATTGTCGGTTGAAAAGAGCACGGTGGCCGGCGCGTTTGACGACCTGAAAACGTGGCTGAGCGCCGCCGGGACCTTCCAGGAAACGTGCATAGACGGGTTCGAGAACGTGACGGAGGCGGCGGTGAAAACGGCCGCGGCTCATGCGTTTAGCAACGTTACTCAGTACACAAGCAACAGCCTGGCGATTATGAGCTCTGTGGTGGAGTCTATTAGCGCCCTCGGCGGCGTTGGGCGGCGGAGACGGCTGATGATGAGCTCGCCGGAGGTGTGGTTGTCTTCGGAGGGGAGGCGGCTGCTTCAGGCGAAGCCGGGGAAGATCAAGGCGGATGTGGTGGTGGCGAAGGACGGTTCGGGGAAGTACAAGAGGATTAAAGATGCCCTGAAAGATGTTCCAAAGAAGAGCAAGAAGAGGTTTGTGATATATGTGAAGAAAGGGGTTTACAATGAGAATGTTAGGGTTGAGAAGAATATGTGGAATGTGATGATGATTGGTGATGGCATGGATGCTACCATTGTCTCTGCCAACCTCAACTTTGTTGATGGAACTCCAACTTTCCAATCCGCTACATTTGGTAAGTCTTTTATAGGTAGGGGTGTAAATGAGGGGATCAGAGCAGCTCGCGAGGGGTTGGATCAAAGCTCGACTCAAATTCGATCAATTTCGAATTTGAGTCTGTTCGTTTCGTAATTGAGCCGAGCTCGAGCTCAAATATTTTAAGCTCGTGGCTCTTCGAGTTGCTGGTCAAAGCTTGGCTCGAGCTCATTCAACTTCGAGCTCGAGTCTACCTTTTGTTTATCGAGCTCGAGCTCGGCTCAGCTCATTTACACCCCTAGTCTTTTATTTTATTAGTGCACTTTTTTGTTATGGTATTAGTATATATTCAATAGATAGACCGAATAACTGTCTAACTAATTTGATTAAAGTTGTTTTGAATTTGTTAGATCAAAAGTACCAAAAACTCATTTCAACTAATATGAAGTTGAGGTGCCTCAGAAAAAACTCACGAGATAAACTAGCATATAGTCCATAGGCCCTGTCTCACGATTTAAATTGAGAAGGCCAATAAACTATCTCATGAGGACTTGAATTTGGAAACCTTCCAACCAACTTGAATTGGCTAGAGTTCACTAAACATACACAAGTTTAGTTCTAATTCAACTTCATATTAGTTGAAATGAGTTTTTGATACTTTTGATCTAACAAATTCAGGACAACATTAATCAAATTATTAGTTAGACAGTTAATCCGTCTGTCTATTGATTTTGTTGGTTTGAGCGATCCAATCAATTTGAGTCATTATATTCCTATCAATAGTGGAAAAAACCTCTACCATGAAAGGGTTAAAACTTAAAAGAATGTTCATATACATGGTGCTAAGCAAGCATGCATGTGGTCATTATATTATTTAATAACTGAGTTTGCATTGCATGCAGCGGTTTTCGGCAAGGGGTTTATAGCACGAGACATGGGATTCCAGAACACCGCCGGAGCAGCCAAGCACCAAGCGGTGGCGCTAATGTCGACGGCCGACCAATCCGTTTTCTACCGGTGCAAAATGGACGGGTTCCAGGACACTCTCTACGCACACTCAAACCGCCAGTTTTACAAAGACTGCACCGTCTACGGCACCGTCGACTTCATCTTCGGAAACTCCGCCGTCGTCCTCCAGAACTGCCGGATCCTCCCCAGAAAACCCATGCACGGCCAGCAGGACACCATCACCGCCCAGGGAAAATCCGACCCGAACCACAACACCGGCATTTCAATCCAAAACTGCACCGTTTCGCCGCTCGGAAACCTCACCGGCGTCAACACCTTCCTCGGCCGGCCGTGGAAGAACTACTCCACCACCGTTTTCATGCAGTCGGAACTGGGAGGGCTCATCCACCCCAGTGGGTGGATGCCGTGGGTGGGGACCACCGCCCCCAACACCATATTTTATGCTGAGTTTCAGAACTGGGGCCCAGGGGCTGTCACCAAGAACAGGGTTAAGTGGAGGGGATTGAGGCTCAACCTTAACGCCAGAACATTTAGCAGATTCACCGTTAAACCTTTCATTAACGGCGATAGGTGGCTGCCGGCGGCCGGTGTTCCGTTCAAAGCTGGCCTTTAATTCAGTTTGGAATGCAATGAATTGAAGTTGCGTTCTTGATTATTTATCTGCAATATATTCTTTTGAATTGGTCCATATGTAAGTTTGCTTTTCATTTTTTATTGTAATGTTCGTTACATTATTTAATGTATTTGCTTGAAATACAGATTTTGAGTTCTACACTTATAAAATGTTTTCTCTTGTGACCTTAATTGACAAAAAATAACAATCAACGATTCCCCCAAAAAATCCAAAATTAAACTTAAAATTTTGAAACTAGTTCTCCCATGTAATATAACATTTTTGTATTTATGTTTGTATAGTTAGGATAAAAGCTTAAAGCTTTATATTGCCTTGCTGCAAATTATACCATGGACCGGGATCTCCCTTGCATTTTAGATCCTGGTTCAAAAACAACATTCAGATTTTGTATCTATAACTTTAAGCTTTTACCATATTTTCATGTACCTACAGTTAATATTTTCTTGGGTTCAAAAAAAAATTATGTATCTGTAATTGGTAGTTTCTGTAAGTGTAGCTATCCTTAATTATAAGTTATTTGTTTATATGTAGGTACAAAATGTGTTAATTAAAAGTACAAAAATTTTGTATCAAATTTCACAATGCAATATAAACCATAGTCCATGGTATAACAATTGTTATTACTTTGAGTCTTTGACTAGGCTAATTTCATGGATCAAATTGTCTTATGTATATTGGGTCTTCACCATCATTGGGCCGTTTGGGCAATACCATCATTTTCAATTTAGTAAAATGCTTCCCACTATACTCATACAATTATGGCTTCCGAATTTAAAAAGAAAAAGTATTTATATTTATGAATTACGAAGCACCTTGTGCTGAGATGGCATGTAGTGACCTTTTTCATGTGGAAGGTCATGATATTGAGCTTCAGTGAAGGCATTGTTCACTCTTGAACATATACTACAATCAGGGGTGGACCTAGTGTGGGGGCAGCTGCCCCCACCCCACCCCTTTATGTGTATATATACATATATAGCATGAAATATTATATAAAATCTATATTTATGTTGAAAATATTAATAGTTTGAGTAGTTAGTTAGTTTAACTCCAAATTTTATGCTATAAAAGGCTTATGACATGGGGTCAAATCTCATTATCTTCCCTCTTTCACTTTTTTGAAAACTCTCTTTCATTTCTTCCCAAGATAAATTAAATATGTTTAGTCTACTTTTTTTATGAATCATTTAATTAACAAATTAAATGCTCTTTTAGTCTAGTTTTTATAAATCATTTAATTAATGTAGTATACAAGTTTATAATATACTTTATTGTATTCGAATTAATTTAGAAAAATCGATCTAACTAAAAGAAATTAAAATTTAAAAGTATTTATGAATATATTGTTATTCAAATTATTTTATCTAATTGATTATGTTTCATATTTTCTCATAAATATATTGTAATTTATAATGTATTTTGTATTTTAACCTTATTATGATTGTTTGATATTTTGTCAACATTTCTAATGTCATTTAATATTGGCCCCCACTCAGATGATTTTCTGGATACGCCACTGATTACAATGTAATAGAGTCATTAACATTCAAAAAAATATTCATGAATTACTAATAAATTGACTGATCCTACCATGAGTTAATAACAAATCTATGTATTCAAATATGATATGTTTTTTTTTTTTTTTAAGGAAATATGATATGTTAAGAAGTGATTAATAAAAAATGAGTTAAATGTTATCCCGCACCATGAACTATATCAAATTGTTTAAGCCGCACCATAGTCTTTTATAACATTCATTTTGAGTCACTTACCATTAATTTTTTTTTTTTGTCTAGTATTTTTACAAGTTTTCTACATGTTACCTGTAATAATATGCTGACATGGTGAATACAAGTGATAGCATAGTCTCATTTACTGCATATCTTCACCTTGCGTGCGACCCACAAGTATTGGGAAAAAAAATGTATGCAGTAAACCAACAAATAAGAGAAAAGTTACCAGCATCCAAGGAACCTCTCAACTCCTCTAAGCAAGCACAAAATTGATTGTTATAGGACAGTCAGCCCTGTATTCGACAAAAATAGGACGTTGACAAATTATGGACAGTCAAGGGAAAATCGAGTTTGGAAAATGCGTCTGATATTAACGGGGAGAGAGAAGAATAGAACCGAGTTTGGGAAATGCGTTTTTCAGCCCAACCGTATTTCCCAAACTCAGTTTTCCCTTGACCGTCCATAATTTGTCAGCCTCGTATTTTTGTCAAATATGGGGCTGACTTTTCCATAACAGTCAATTTCCCTATGATATCCGGATCTTTGGTATGTGAGATATGCTGCTCCATAACTGTCCAGTTACTTTCCGGTATTGCTGCTGCAAAATTGGACACTTCTGTATTCTCAATTTTCTCAAGGGCGCTTTCTGGAGAAGGGCCAGTGGTACTTGCTTCAACTTGCAGCAATCAGAAAGCTTCAGATAAAGTAGACATGGCATGATCTTCATATTTTCTTCTCCAACTCTGCTAATCACTTCCCACTCTACCCAGTTTCCTGCCCCTACAATCTTCAATTTCTTTAGCTTAGGAAACCCGATAATGGTTGATGATGATGCCCCCTTTAGTGAACCTGTTTCTGTGCTTCCATTGTTCTTTACTTCATCTGCAATTCCTAAGAATTCGAGCCCGATGGTTTTCAGATTCTGCATGTTTTCTATGGTGAGTGTTTCCAAGGCGGGCAGTTTTCCCAGTGGAGGTAAATGGACACAGTTTTGGCAATCTTGAAGATGGAGTTTTTTTAGATTGCTTAAGTATACCATCCAACTCGGGAACTGAGAACCTCCATAGAAACTTATCTGCAAATGCTTCAATTCTTGAGGTGGCTCGAGAGCTTCGATCAGCTCCATTGTCTTCTCATCTTCAACCGAAGGCTTGAAATCCATATGCAAATTTACCAGCTGCTTCTTGTTCTTCAGTTCAGCTCGTTCTGCTTCAATCGCATCTTCCACGAATCCCAACCCCTCGATCTTAAGGTATCCTTGCAGTTGATTCAAGTTTTTCAAGTCTTGCAAGCAGCAAATTGAGTCTCCGCTATCGCTGCTACTAACCATGATAAATTTGCTCAGTGTTCTAAGATTATCCAGGTTTCGAACACCTTTTGGCAATGTTTTGAGGCTCTCAGTGCGATCTATCTCGAGATGCCTTAAGTTTTTCAACATTCCAATCCCTTGAGGCAGCTTTCGGAGATGATCACAGGAAATGATCTTCAAAGTCTGCAAATTGTAGAGACCACATAATGTTTCTGGGAGTTCCCACAATGGGTTGTGGGATAAGTTGAGATATCTCAAATTGGTCAATTTCCCGAGCTCTTTTGGAAGCTGATACAATCTGTTCCGGCTAAGATCTAAGGATTTCAGGAAAGTTAAAGATTGGAATAACTCAGAAGTCACTCTATCTATTTCGCTAACGATTGGTGGGGAGTCATAGAACGATTGAACCCAAAAACTGTGAAGTTTTCTTGTTTCACCAATCGAAGCAGGAAATGGCACCTCCTCTGCCCGAACTAAGGTAAGATGACGAGCCTTTCGTTCCAATTTATCCAACCTTGATGCCAAGTTACTATGAACTTCCATGATAAGGCATTCACAATAGGTAAGATATTGTGCGAAATCGTGAACCATATCATGCATCTTGAATCTTAGTATCGTCTCGCCATCTTTAGATCTTTCCACTTCTTGGAAAAACGACCTCAAGACCAAATCTTCCAAGTAGCCTCGTCCCGTGATCTCCATTTCTTCTGTGCTTCTCGGGTTGAGGAGGTAGCCTTGAGCCATCCAGAGTTTGATCAGATTATCGGCCTCGATCTTGTAGTCTTTCGGGAAGTTAGCACAGTACGAGAAGCACCTTCTCTGAGCTGAGGGAAGATCATAGTAGCTCAACAACAAAGGTGGAAACAGACCTTTCTCTGCATCTTCCAACTTCCATATCTCACTCTCCAAAACATTCTTCCAATCTTGAACAGAGTTTTTCATCCGCATCAGGCTCCCGATAGTCTTTGCAGCTAGAGGCAATCCTTTGCATTTCAGCGCGATTTTCCTCCCCACCTCTTCTAGCTCCTCACATTTATCTTTGCCCCTCCCAAGAAACGCAATTTTGCTGAACAACGACCAGCAATCATCACTCGGCAGCTCCTCTAAACGCAATGTGTATGTGGTTTCCATTATCCTCGCCACTCTCTCGTTGCGTGTGGTCACCAGAACCTTACTCCCGCCTGCACCCGTCGTTAGGGAGTCCCTCAACGGCTCCCACTTCCTAAAATCCTCCGTCCACACATCATCCAGCACGAGCAGGAACCTCCTCCCGGAAATCGAGTTCCTAAGGTTGCACAATATGGTCTCGAGTTCAAACACATTCGGTGCACTGCCTTGGACCTCTTCAACAATCGCTTTTGCAACTTTTACCACATCGAAAGGCTCGGATACACACACCCACATTTTTATCTCGAACCCCGAATTCGCCTCGCGGCTATTGTAAGCAAGCTGTGCGAGTGTTGTCTTCCCGATACCTCCCATACCCACAACTGCAATTATATGGAGGCCTTGTTCTTGTTCTGGTTCACTGCTATTATTGTTACAGAGCTTGCTTATTAAGGTACCCTTTTCTCCCTCCCGACCATATATCTTTGACACATCAACGTAAGATGTACTATGGTATTGCCTATATTCTTCTTTATCCATAATCATGTCAAATTTATACCTATCTTTCTCAACAGCTATAATATCTAGTCTCTCATTTATCCCTTTTATCCTAAGAGCTATATCGCGACGCTGGACAACCTTATTGAATCCGAAGCATGAGAGAAATGAGGATACCTTGTTCTTAGGAGCAGAAGAAGTAGGGTTTTCATCAACGCCTTCGATTTGTATCTTCAAGATTTCTGTGCTCAATTCGGCCAACAAGTCATCCATGTCGTAGGAAATGTCTCGAAGCTTCATGAGCCAAACCCTAACGGACTCGTCCTTGACTTGCCTCTTCTCTGCATCCGCGAGAACGGCCTGAATGGATCGGAAGGAGCTGTTGAGCTTCTGGACTTCTCTTTCCACTCCCGTTACTAGACGCAACTGCTTGCGGATCTGCTGATCCATCAGTTGAGTTAGCTCGGTGAGGACTATGGTAATCAGTGCCTCAGTCATTTTCTAAAAGAATAGGTGAGTTCAGGGAAGATGAAGAAGGAAGAAGAAGAGTGTGATGGTTGAAGATGAAGGGTAATAACCGCAAGAAACTCTAGGACTTTGCATAATTGACAACAAGAAGAAGAAACTGGCTTCATCTTTCACTGGGAAATTGGATGGTAATTCACTAATTCAAAAAGAAATTTCTTTGATTTTGACTGTTGGAAAGAGACAAGAAAGTTCATGCTTTTGTTTGAATGCAGTGCAATAGTGCTGTGTGGTCCAGAACTGGTAACTTTTTGTTTGCTCAATTGTTTGGAGAATGGAGAATGATAAACAATATAAATGCAGCAACAAGGAAAGGAAGGGGAAATTACAAAGAAGGTAAACTATTAGATTTTAAGTTTGGAGCTAAGATTAAGCACTTTTTTTTTTAATAACAAGTTCTCCATAATCATGATAGGCCAGAGTTTGCCGTGTCGGTCCTACTTCAGTTCACACTTGTCCGTTGACTGATACTATAGGAGCGGCAGAAATGGAGCACCAGCAACATATATCAATTTTAGCCTAGCTTGGATCCAAGGCCGGATCATCATACTGGGTTTGTGCCTGCAGAAAATGGAAGCAACAAAGAAGTTTGAAGGCGAGGAGCTTAGCGAATTGAAATGGTTGAGTATCTCCATACCCATACATGAGAGTTTGGAAAGTACAGAGAGGACAAGGATGAGGAAGCAGCTGCTGGATGAGTTTGGAACCATGCTCTCTCATCCTACTAACAGTAATAGTAATACTCATCTCCCTGCTTCTTTTAATGTCTGCTGTTCTGTTTCTGCAAATTATTCAACTTCTGTGAGCAGCGCTAGTCTCTCCTTGGGCGAACTCACCGCAACTCTCCCTGCTGATCTTCCCTCCATTGCACAGCGCCTGAGTGCCATGGGATATCTCGAAGATTGCAAGCAGATTTACAAGACCAAACGCCTGGCAGTTTTCGATGCCACTTTAAGGCGATTTGGAATTCAGAAATTAAGTGCGGTTGAGGTGAAGAGGATGGAATGGGAAACACTTGACAAGGTTGTAGGGCTGTGGTTGAAAGCACTTGTGTTCTGTGTAGATCTTATCTCCATTGAAAAACAGACCCACCAGTCAATCTTCAAAGACGATTCATCAGCACTTGTGATGGGAATAGTGAGGGCTTTTGTCTCACCATTCCTAGATTTCACACAGGCATTCGCCACCAGTCACCCTTCTCCACAAAAACTATTCAGATTCCTTGATTTACACCGCATCCTAAACACTACCTTGAGCCCGTGTGTATTGTTCGAGGTGCCCAGAGATGATCCTCTGGCGACACAGGTGGAACAAGTTTTTTCTCAGCTCATAGAGGCAGCAAAAGTGAGTTTCCGGAATTTCGAGAGAGCTGTGAACAGTGACGTTATGCATATTAGTAGCGTCAAAGAGGACGGTGTTCATACCACGACAAAGTATGTCATGGATTATATGATCAGATTGATATCTGAGTACAGTGAGGAGTGTGAATGGATAGTTTCAGGGCCAAGAAAAGTGGAAATAAGCACAAGGATCGATGGCAATATCTGTGACAAAAAAACTATTGATGGTCGCGGCGTATCGCCGTTTACGTCTCACGTTCTTTGGGTCATTGCCTCGTTGCTGCGCAGGTTGAAAACCAAGACCGTCCAACACCAGGACGATGATGCTTTTGCCCACTTTTTCATGATGAATAACCTTAATTACATTGTTCAGACGGTGATTGAGCAGCCAAGTCTAAGAGAGATAGTAGAAGAGGGTGATTTCCTGCGTGATCTTGAAACTGGCCTACGTGCTAGAAAACTGAAATACCTGGGTTCGACTTGGACCAGAATTATACAAGATTTGGCGCAATGCTCCAGTCTCAAAAAGATCAAGCTCTTCAGCGTCACGCTTTCCCGGCAGAGTAGGAGGAAGGAAACTCTTAGGAATTTCAATGAAATGTTTGGTAAAGTTCATCGAACTCAATCTAGGTGGTCGGGTTCTGATGCCAACCTCATGGGACAGCTTCGAAAAGTTATTTTGGATAGGTTGGTTCCAAGTTATGAGCATCTTCTTGACCAACTCTCAGACACTTCTGGTAATCCCACCACTGAAATCCAATACTCAGTTGAGGATTTGAAGAAATCAATCTCTCAACTCTTTCAGGGCCGCCCTCCCACATGATGTTCTCTGTCAAACATACATGGAGTCAAGAACAACCTTGCATTATTGTTGTTCTTCTTAGTTTATTTACTACTCTCATTCTTCTCTTCATTTTATGTGTTTAGTTTGGTTGAAATAAATTAAATTATTTCATCGATTTCACTCCTGCAACGTTGGAAGATCATTTTGCGCCTATAGTTATCGCCTTGTGCACATTGGAGAAAAGACTAGAATGTGTAGAAAAGCTTGGGAATTAGCCAAAATATGTAATGACTTTTTTTTTTGACAGAAATATGCAAAACTCTATTGAGAGTTGCGTTTTTTAAAGTATTTCATCCGTATTTTTTTTTTTTTGTTAAATACAGAAAACGCAACTGGTGGTTGCGTTTTCAAAATACGTAGGGAATACGCTAAAACGCATTTGGGTCTTGCGTTTTACGTATTGTACCTGTGAATACGTAAAACGCAAGACCCAAATGCGTTTTTTTTACCGCCGTAAAACGCAAGACCCAAATTTCGTATGCGTTCTTCGCTTGACTCGCAGAAGTCAGAACCAAAGAAAAAGGAAAGGAAAAGAATTCCGCAGGTGAAGGAAGAAAACTTCAATTCGCGATAGAATATTATCTCCAAGTCTTCTGTGAGTTCTGTCCTCACTTTTTCTTCATCGCTGTTATCTGTTGCATTCTTATCATTATTATTACGGAGTATTATTTTTCAAAGGTATGCTTTTCGCGGTCTATTTCTCTGATCCACATTTCCGAAACGGGAATGAATCCAGTTGTAGCGTGGTTCTCTTTTTACCGCCGTACGCGACGAGGAGTACAAATACTTCACAAAAACGCAACTTGGTTTTGCGTTTTACGTATAATACGTAAAACGCAAAACATAGTTGTGTATTGTGGGATACGGTATTGTCGCAAAAACGCAAGAGCCTATTGCGTTTTACGTATACAAATACGTAAACGCAACTGCCTCTTGCGTTTTCTACGAATACAAGAAAAATACGAAATACATCAAAAACGCAACTACGAATGGAGTTTTGCATATTTTTGTCCAAAAAAAAAAATACGACACATTTTGGGAATTTTTCCTTGTTGACCGCATATTTTTGTCTTTTTCCCTGTGCACATTTGGGATCATACTTTAGGACAATCTCCCTCGCTCGGTCATCATCCGTCTTTACCATTTCCATTTCTGCAGATTACAGTGTTGAAATCAGATTATTATTACGAGATGAAAGCTTTTTCTGTAGAATAGGAAGTGAAATATCAGATGCGTGTGTATCTATTTAACTAGATCTTGTTCTTGATTTCTTGTTCGGCCATTAAAAGGGGACAGAAAAGAAGTCATCGGATCCATTGTTTCAACATATTACAAGACAAAAATGAGGAAGAAGAGGACCCGGCTCACACGGCATTACTATAGGCTCTTACAAGGTCAAGGGTCCAACAATAATTTATAGACTTGAGTGAGAAAATGCAGATGTTTACAATTTAGGTTCGGTTTGCCAGAGCTTATTTAGGAGCTTGTAATTCATTTTAAGCTACTATTAAGCTATAAGTTCTGTTGGGTAATGTTCCTAAAATAAGCTCCTAGCTTAAAATAAGAGTTTATTTTGATAAGGTAGCATTTCAAAATAAGCTACTAGCTTCCTAACTTTTTTTTTTTTCATCTTTACCCTTATTATTTTAAAGGAATGACATAATTTACACTTTTCAATTAAAATAATTTTTCTCTTCTCCTTTATCCGCTACTTTCACCGCAAATAATAATAATAATAATAATAATAATAATATTATTATTATTATTATTATTATTATTATTATTATGAGATTTGCAACAATATTGCTACTTCATTATGAGATGCTAGATTATGATTATGTTAATAGTTTTATTTCAAAATGTTAATTTTTTTTAAAGATAAAATGTTAAATTTTAATATGTAAAAAAACTAATTTGAATTTTAGAGTTAATTACCGAAATGGTCCCTTGACTATATCAAAATTACCAATTTGGTCCTTGACTATTTTCTTTAACCAATTAAGTCCCTCAACTTTAAAAATCTTAACCAATTTGGTCCTCCGTTTGTTTGACCGTTAGTCACCCGTTAACTTGGGACCGAATTGGTAATTTCGCTATAGTCAAGGGACCATTTTGGTAATTAACTTTAGGGGTGGGCAATTCGGTTCAGTTTTCTCGAACCGAACTGTACCAAACCGAACAACCGAACGGTATTGGATTCTTGTATACCGAACGGTTCGATAAAATAAATAAATAAATAAAAAGTAAATCCAAGTCCCTTGCTGCTTGCTCTACCGTTCAGCTCATATTCTCACGGGTATCTCTCGTAAATGTTTTATTTGATTTCTTTATGGTTTGTTATCAAGAGTTCTATATTATGTGTTATGTTGTTTACATAATCCATATCCAAAGTCTAATATATAACAAAATAGCAATACAAAGTTCAAACGGTATTTGGTTCGGTTCGGTTTTTACCGAACAATTCAGTTCGGTTCGAGTTTTTACCGAACCGTTCGGTATATAAGAATCTATTATCGTTCGGTTGTTTGGTATATTACCGAATCTAACTAGTTTGGTACGGTTCGGTTCGAGAAAACTGAACGGAATTGCCCACCCTTAAAGTTAATTACCAAAATGGTCCCTTGACTATAGTGAATTATCAATTTGGTCCCAAGTTAACGGTTGACTAACGGTCAAACAAACGGATGACCAAATTGATTAAGATTTTTAAAGTTGAGGAACTTAATTGATCAAAAAAAATAGTCAATGACCAAATTGGTAATTTCACTATAGTCAAGGGACCATTTCGGTAATTAACTCTAAATTTTATGAAGATTCATTTTTAGTCTTTTTACATTTATCAGTTTATCAAAAAGTTAATTTTACCACACACTTTTAATCATAACAGGTATCTTAACAGCTCTTCAGTTTTCAGCTCCAAACTTATAGCTTTCCAGCTTTCCAGTTAGATTTGCCAAACAGAGCCTTAGTAAAAAAGCTAGCAGTCTATG